GACTCGACTAATAGCAAAAGGATTTTCACAGCAGAAGAGGATAAATTATGATGAAATCTTTTCTCCTGTGGTCAAACATACTTCAATTAGAGGCAGTGTTTGCATTAGTAGCCATTTGGGATTTGCATTTGGAGCAGATGAATGTTAAAATTTTTTTATTGCATGGTGATTTGGAAGAGCAGATTTACATGTAGTAGCCAGAAGGGTTCACTTAACCTGGACAGGAACATCTGGTTTGCAGGTTAAAGAAATCGTTGTATGGGTTGAAACAGTCTACAAAACAATAGTACAAGCGGTTGGACTTCTAGATGATTCAGATTGGCTACAAGAGATGTGAGTATGATTGTTGTGCTTATGTGAAGAGTCTTGATAATCGTTCTATTATTTTTCTGTTACTGTATGTTGATGATATACTGATTGCTGCAAAGAATATGAATGATGTTCTTGGTTTGAAAGTTTTATTGAGCCATGAATTTGACATGAAAGACTTGGGTCCTACGAAGAAGATTCTTGGAATGGAGGTTCATCAAGACAGAGGCTCAAGACGATTATGTTTATCTCAAAGAGACTATTGAAAAAGTGTTGGACAAGTTTGAGATGAGCAAAACAAAGATTGTAAGCACTCATTTGACAAATCATTTTAAGCTTTCTTTAGAACAGTGTCCTAAGATATACAGAAATCGAAGACATGACAAAGGTTTCATATGCCAGTGCAGTTGACTGCTTGATGTATGCAATGATATGTACTCATCCTGATTTGACTCATATTGTTAGTCAAGTCTGCAAATACATGACTAAACCTGGAAGGTGACATAGGGAAGCGGTCAAGTGGATTTTCAGGTATCTGAAGGGTACTGTATGACATGGAATTATCTTTGGCAGTCAGCAAGATGATTCTTCAGTTGTGGGGTACGTTGATTCAGAGGTGATTTGGATGACAGAAGGTCTACAACTGGGTATGTGTTTACTCTTTACTCTTGGTACTCTTGGTGGAAGGCCTATATGTTGGAAATCAACAATTCAGTCTATTGTGACATTATCTACAACTGAAGTTGAGTACATGACAGTGTAGTTGAAGCTGCAAAAGAAGTCTTATGACTTACTGGGCTAGTAAATGAACTGGGCATTGAGCAAAGTGGAGTTTAGTTGCATTGTGACAGTCAGAGCGCTATTTATCTGGCTAAGAACTAGGTGTACCATGCGAGAACCAAATACATTGATGTCAGATATCATAAGATCAGAGAATTGATTGCTTCTGGTGAGATACTATTGCAGAAGGTTCATACTGATGAAAATGCAGCTGATATGTTGATCAAGCCAGTTATTATTAACAAGTTTTTGCATTGCTTGGACTAGTTGAATGTGTGCAATTGCTAGAGAAGCATGGTGGTCTAACCCACAGTGGTGCAGGTGTAACTCTCAGGTACCTTTTTTCTCCTAAGGGGCTGGATATTCGCCAAGGTGGAGATTTGTTATGGTATGACTCATATGTCATATAAGGACAGACGCTGAAACTAAGCGAAGCGGAGCGGAATAATCTGTCCAAATCGGGAAGTTACATGGGTTGGGGATGCGGGGGCAACGCTCCGCGGTACAGTACAAGAGTAATGTTGTAATGACATATTTTACTTAGGGTTTACTCCTTCGGTTATAAATAGGCATGTTAGTAACCCCATGAGGTATCCCTGATTTGTGTAATCTCTTTTCTGAATATTGAAAGGAACTCGTCAATCTGCTCCCGATGACATAGGCATCTTTGTCGAACCTCGTTAAATCTCTGTGTTCTTCTCGATTTGTGTCGATTTTGTTTTTCTTCACCCTAATTTTTCAACAGTTCTTCTAGTAAGGTACACAATCATATATGATATCTCTATCATATGACAAACTATGCTTCTTTCCGCAGTTTATCGCCGACCAACAAAGCATTAGTTACCTTCCTGAGTGATCATCAGACCTCATCTACTATTAAGGCTGCACTAGCAGAACCAGCTTGGAAAGCTACCGTAACAGAGGAGGTGAATGCCCTTCGGTGGAACAGTAATTGGAACATCATTGATCTTCCTTAGCGTAAGAAAGCAGTGGGATGTCGATAGAATTTTAGCATCAAATTTAACTCAAATGGATCCTTTGAACGCAATAAGGCATGGTTGGTCGCCAAAGGATACACATAGACCTACATAATTGACTATGAGAAGATGTTTGCTCTTGTTGCTAAATTAAATACCATTCGGATCCTATTATCCCTTGCGGTGAATCTGAATTGACTTATATTCCAGCTTGATGTCAAGAATATATTTATGAATGACGATCTTACAGAGGAGGTATACATGTCCCTTCCTCCAGGCTCTGACTCCACTGCCTTCTAGGGGCAAGTGTGTAGATTGCGAAAGTCCCTCTATGAATTGAAGGAATCACCTTGAGCCTGGTTCAACAAGTTCAAAAAGGTGGTGGTGGGTCATGAGTTTACTCAGGTTCAATCAGGTCACTCTCTTCTCCACTATATCCTAGGGGCAAGTGTGTAGTTTGCGAAAGTCCCTTATGAACTGAAGCAGTGACACGAACCTGGTTCAGGAAGTTCACAAAGGTGGTGGTGGGCTATGAGTTTACTCAGGTTCAATCGGATCACACTCAATTATTTCGGCCTTCATCTATTGGCCAGTTTGCTACCCTTATCGTCTATGTCAACGATATTGTAATCATAGGTAATGATCTACCAACATTGGAGTATCTAAAATGCACTTTTGCTACTTCCTTTAAAAGGAAGGACTTAGAGATTTCCTTGGTACTTCGTAGGCATGGAAGTTATTCAGTCAACTCGGGGCATTCGCCTATCTAAGCACAAATATGTGATCGACCTTTTCACAGAAAACCACCTCTCCTGTGCAAATTAGTACTATTCTGATGGATTCAAATGAAAAACTTCCCGATGATTCCAATGCTGTTCCTGTAAACAAAACTCACCACTAGCTTCTTGTGGGGAAACTCATCTATCTTGCCCATACATGCCTCGACATATGGCAATCAATTCATGCATGATCTCTATGAGCATCATCTTCAAGTTGTCCACCGGATTCTCGACTTTTTAATGGGGACACCGGGCTTAAGTTTGTTTTTTTTTTGTACCACACATCTCGTTCTATTGCAGTTTACACAAATGCTAATTAGGTTGGGTCCGTCCACGATCGACAATCTACCTCAGGGTTGTGCTCATTTGTGTGGAAAATCTTGTCACGTGGAAAAACAAAAAGTAGTCAGGGAGTGCCCGAAGTAGTGTTGAAGATGAATTTCAGTCTATGTCCTTGGGATCCCGTGAAGCTCTCTGGTTACGCAACATGCTCCGCGAACTACGTATGTCAGTCTTCGTCCATCTATAGTTGTTATGTGATAATAAGACCGTCATTTGCATTGCGTACAACCCGGTCCAACATGATCACACCAAGCGTGTGAATATTGACTGACACTTCATTAAGAAAAAGCTCGAGTCCGAAGAAATTTGTGTTTCGTTTGTGTCATCTAGCCCAGGTAATAGATATCCTCACAAAGAATCTTCCTCGATCACTATTTGATGATTTCAAATCCAAGTTGAACATGATTGACATCTATGTTTCAACTTGAGGGAGATGAATTTCAGTCTATAATCCTTTGGAATCCGTGAAGCTCTCTGGTTATGCAGCATGCTTAGCAAACTACGTATGTCGGTCTTCGTCCCTCTACAGTTGTTCTGTGATAATAAGACCGTCATTAACATTGCTCACAACCTGATCCAACATGATCACTCCAAGCGTGTTGAGATTGACTGACACTACATTAAGAAAAAACTGGAGTTCGAAGAAATTTATGTTCCGTTTGTGTCATATAGGGACCAGCTAATAGATATTCTCACAAAGAATCTTCCTCGACTAATATTTGATCATTTCAAATCCAAGTTGAACATGATTGACATCTATGCTTCTACTTGAGGGATGTTGAACCTGATTGACATCTATGCTTCTACTTGAGCGAGAATATTAGAATATTAATGACTATTACTAGATGTTATTCATTCATGTTATTATTCTAAGTTTTTAGCTTTGATTTCTTTATTATTGTTTTCCTTTTTATATTATATCATATTTTTATTTCTTTTCTTTCTGGTGGATCTTATAATGGGTTTATATACCCTTTTTTTTTTGTATCAACAAGAATAATTCTGGTTCTATTCTAACACTATTTCTGATCAATAATTTCCTACACTTCCATATAAGTTGATTCTTATCCACTAAAGTTCTTTGCTATTTGTTCTTTACCTTTCCTATAGCACCATAGATAAAGCTCACTTTAGAACACTCAACTTCTCAACACTTGAATGGGAGGCTTTGTTGTTTTAAAAGCATATATCACAGTCAACCAAGAAATATTATCTTTTAAGGTAACATCTTCATTTTTTTTTCCTTTATTTTTTAACATATGCACTATCATTCTATTTTGTGAGAGTAAACGTTGCCTCTAACTGGTTTGTCGCTCAATGAATGCCTTGGAAAATTAAATAAGCAATAACAAACCTTGTGATGGCTAGTCTAACGAGATCTGTATTAGCAATCTGCCTCATTAAAATCAATACCAATTATGATTTTAGATGGAAAATGTTAGCTTTTCTGGGTTTAATCCAAGCATTTTTTATCTTTTAACGAGTCTTCAAGTGTTTCTAACATCAAATTGAGACTGTGGGCTGCACAGAAGTCCAATATTGATGTTCTAGAGCATTAAAGCATAAGATGCCAATCCTATAAAGCTGATAATGATATTTATAATCCATATATTTTTGGCATAATGGGATTTTGTGTGCCCTAAAAAGTAAGTTATTAGCATTAGATATTGTATTTTGTTTTCTCTACTGTCCTGTTCAGCATAGGCAGGTTTTACCTTTTCCCGATCTTCTCATTTATCAAACAATTTGTGCTTGCTCGTCTCATATTATGATAAGCAGTGCTTTTATCATAATGTCCTTAATTCCTGTATAGGAATTCTTCAGATGCCTGGCAGTATGCCATACTGTGCTTCCAGAAGGTGATGAATCATCTGATAAGATCACATACCAGGCTGCCTCACCAGATGAAGCTGCTCTTGTAACTGCAGCAAAGAACTTTGGATTTTTCTTTTATCGGTAAAGTTTATTTTTCATTGTCCTGTTGGCCTTCTTTCATCAGATTTCTTCTTAATTGTTTGTGCTTTCTTTATTTTCGCATGCTTTTTGTTTGGTGAATGCAAACTTTGACTTGAATAGTAGTTTGCAAAGAATGTCAATGATAGAAGACGGAATTTAGATGAATTTGTGAAAACAGAAAGTGCAACTAGCGTGTGTTGCCGTCTTTATTTATGTTTTCTTTTTGCCTTTCTGCCTAGTGTCTGCTTACCCCCTTGTCCGATGCAAAAATTTCTGCTGCTCATTGCCCGATTACCTAAATTATTTATCATGAAATAAACACTAGAAAACCATGCGCTTGCAACTTTTTTTTTCTGAAAATTGACTTCTCATTCTCATGCACCGGTAAAATTAGTTTTTGTTGTTCTTTAGTGGCCTTTTTTATCTGCATATATACCTGCCATGTTAAGTCTTTAGGATTCGTAGAGAAATGGCATCCCGTAACTGATGTCCATCAGGCTTCATTGTCAAATAAATGCTTTGGAAGATGCATTGCAGCAATGTCAGGAAATTTTATTTGTGTACGCAGAACTTGGATGGAACACAACAGCGATGCGCTGCCATAGCTACTGATTTTACCCGATTTCGCTTGTTAGAAATGTTTCCTAACCCAGCAAGTGTGATAGGGAGAAAAAGAGAGAACATTGGGCCAAAGGAAGCCATTTCTTTCACCTACTGAGCACAGGTTTGTTCAGTTTGGTGGGATTGGTTTACAACTTTCTATGGCAGCAAACTCTATTTAATCTTATCTAGGTTAAAATTTTCTAGGGATTAGGAAGTTCGACATAAATTCACATCCTTCCCAAGTATATAGTAAAGAAAACCCACAAATAAAGGAAAAAGTGCCTGTTCTACAGTTCCATGAAAAAGCCCATTTAATTTATTTGGGTTTCTCCACGACTCAATATCATCATTATTCTTACATCTAATGAGAATATTATGATTTGCATTTTGGAGATGTTGGGTGTCGGTCAACTTTTTTTCGATTGATTAATTTTGAAAATATGGTGTATGAAAATAATTTTTGAGATTTAATTTAAGAATAAAAGATATATATAGTTTGAGTTTTAAAAGTAGTATGTTTTAATTTTTTGAAAAATGAGACCAAATGGATCTCATTAGTCTGATAGTTTGCATAATCGTGTCTGATACCGCAAATACTACATCTTCCCGAGAGATAAGTGTAGACCTCAGCGATAGACCCAATCCTGCAAATTAAGAGATTTGTGACATCCGTTTGGTCTGCGAACCTTTTATATATGACCGACAAATTCCCCTATTTAATACAAAGATTAAATAGGGTTTATTTTATCTGAGTTCCAAGTTCCCTATAGAGGCAAGCCCCTATAGTTAATTACATCCCAAATGACGGGAGTCATTTGAGAAAACTCTCGATAATGATCAATGGTTCTAGTCTTCAAGAATTCAAGGTTCAGGTTTTCAAGGTAGGACGTAGAAGAGCAAATGGGAGTGGCTCAAACATGAACAGTTATTTCAGGAGTCCAAAGGAAAGAAAAGGTAGGGGATGCCACAGATCCTAAGGAGAACCCTCAGTGACTTCCCAAACTATCCTACTGTATGGTTATGTTTTGGAAAAGATGTTATTCAATAGTTCAATCCTGCCAATTTTATTACTTAGGACTTACATTTGCATAATACCCGATTATACAAATAGCCTACAGAGAAATGAGGGTTGACATCGTACCGTACGATAACCTCGGAACCTAAATCGAGTTAGGACTCATGCTGCACAACTTGGTTGTGCAGGGGCCTAAAAGAGGGTGAGGATTTACGTCGCTCTAGGCGAGCTACCTCGAAGTCCTATGGGTTGTTATTATGCTAAGAAGGGATAATGCTGAAGAAGATCCTCTTGTTGCTCGGTCTGAAT